ATTATCTTTGAAATTCGGTTTGAACTGCTAAAGTTGTACACTCCGTATTTCACTTTCATTAGAGATACCTTGAGGAGTAGATGAATTAGCCTCGAAGAGTCCCTCGTCCTCATCCTCATTTCCCTGTCCATCGGTGCAATAACGACATCGCATTTTTGCATCATCCCCCACTTGCACAGACCGAGTGATAATAATCAATGACGTCAGACTGATAAAAAATAAAACTGTCGGTACAATAGTGGCGATTAATAATTCAATGCGTGTCTTCTCGAGATTGAAACGCGCAACAACGAAGAACGAATCATTCTGAAACAAAAAGCAATTATTCTCTCGTGTAATTTATCGATTACTCTGGCCTTCAATTAACACATCGATCGTATCAGCATTCAAGGGAATATCTCCAGAGATATTCAAGAGATTTTGTGCTTGTTCCACTTTAATATTCACCCTTAACTCTCCCTCAACGGACTCCAATAATTTTTCAATTTTTTTATTATCAAATCAGACGATAGAATTAATTAAAAAATACTCCAGTGACTCTGTAATTGATTACCTTGTTGTAATAACAGGGATATCTACTCTGTGCAGTCTGATTATCCCCATCCCTCCCGTGGCTTCTCAGAAAATCCCTGCACTCTCCCCTCAATGTATTCACACAACCCTCGAGATTGATATAAAGCCTCGAGGTATTATAAATAGTAAGAGATCTCTGAGATGGCAGATAGACGTCAGTTTTATCCACTGGATTTTCCAAATTCATCTCGTAGATTTTCAAAAAACTCGTGAAATTCACGAAGGGCTGGGGTATAGACCTCTCCTCCACCAAACTCCCATTCACGCAGTCCTCGGTCCTGCAATAATTATCAACATTAACTAGAATTAATTCCTCTACTTCTCATTGTCCGCGATAATTGCTTCATGGATCGTCATAATTTTCTTGGCATCAGTATTATTATTGAATCGATTGGTGAAAAGGTCAGATGTATTTCCAGGAGAACGTTCAATCGTTTTACGAGGAAGTGGTGTACACTGGAGTGGCTTAATGGTTTTTCCAGTCATCGATATCGCGATATCGATATCGGGAAAAAAAAAATGAATTATTCTGCAGCGACATAAATTACCGAGAATAACACATTTTTCTCTCAGGTATTAAAATTATTTGGATTATCAATTACCTGATGGTGTTTCCTGCTCTATTTACAGCGAAACAGCTGGTGATTAATCCCAGGCCGTTGGTGTCATCCCAAATTTTTTCCGGGTTATCCAATCTCGTGCCCAGGAGATTGCCCCGGGCACGATTAAGAGCCAGTGCTCTGGTGCAACGTGCGGTGTAGATATTGTCATCCTGCATCAGGAAAACGTTGACGTTTCTGGTGGTGATTCTCGGGCAGTAACGGTCACAGGAGAACGGGCGTTTTATTTTTGTGCAGCGAGAGCTATGGCAGCTGAAGAAACCGTTGAGTTTCATGTTGTCTTTCTCACTGTCAACGATTATTCCGTCAGGTTTGTGATGGCAGAGCATCAATTCGCTCATATTCGCGCAATGACCAAGACTGCAATTAAAAACACCTGACAGAGCACTGCAGGCACTTCCATTGTTGCAATTGTATCTCTTCAATGAAAGCAGATTCACCTGGAATTCGTTGTCCAGATATTAAATTATTTTGAAATTCAATGGAAGCCTCTGTTGAGAGAAAAATTCTTATCGCCTCATGCAATCCTCGAATTGTTTACTCTATTCCCAGAAAAAAACAATCGATATCACTATTTTATGTTATTAAAAAATAAGACCACATATTTCTCCGGAAATTTTAGTCGTGAATTTTGTTTCTTCGTCTT